AATAAATTTTTAAAAAAGTTTTTCCATAAAGTAGCAAGGATTGAGATCTTTTAATTAGTCTCCTTCTATTTTAGTAGAAAGTCCAATTTCTGCAATCAGAATTATTTCTGGAATCTGGCTTAGAAAAAATCTGAAGGGTTCTGGTATTTGTGGAGGTGGTTAAAAAATGGCCAGTCTCCCTGGCAGGAAACCAACTGAAGAGGGGAGCAGAACTCAAGATGCTTTGCTGGGTTAGTTAGAAAGCAGTAGATCTACAGAGGCTTTCTTAGAAGAAATCAGCATAACAGCCATCAATTCTACTTCTAAGGAGGGGAGATATAAATCTATGTATGTAAACATACATATTCATATACATAAATGTGTATGTGTATGAATGTGCATGCATATGTATGTATCTTAGCTACATCTATTCAAAGGTCCTAGAAGCAAAGACAATGTGACATCCTGGTAGCAGTGAGCACATCTAACACTTAGTATCTTGATTTCCCAGGAACCATCTTGAAGAATTCCCATTGCTCAAGTCTTGATAAAATTTGGACATCGAAATCAATGAGTAACAAAGTGTAAACCTTTGGGTTAAAAAAAGAATATATATATTGACCTTTGTTCCCAGGTTCTGACACAGAGCTTCTAAAACCCTTATTATCTCCTGAGTAATGGGGGTGCTAGGAGCATCCTTTGTTCTAGTATTTGATCCTTGACCTTGGTTCCTGACACAGAACTCCTAAAGATATTGTAATTCCCTGGGTGGGTAAGTATTTTTTTCTTTTTCTTTTTTTTTTTTTTAAGATTTATTTATTTGTGCATACAAGAGCTGGGGTACAGGCCAGAGATGTGGGGGGTGAGAGGATTCACCAGCAACAGAGTGGGGAACAGAACAGGTGGACTGACTGAAGTACACTGCTGAGGGGAGCAGCAGGCAAGGCAGGAGAGGTATGCTGCGCCATGTGGGTTGCTCCCTGGCCTGCCGGGGATTGATCTTGTGCTACAGTGGCTGCAGATAGCTTCATAGGTTGTGCCTTAACCCCTTGTGCCACCAGGGAAGGCCCATGTGTCCTTTTTTCTAATGAGGTGGCTGGTAATGGGTTGCTGGATGGGAGCCAGTCACCAGAAAGACCAAGCCATGCTTAGAAACTTAGAACTTTTAGCCTCACCCCCTTTTCCCGGGAAAGGGAGAAGAGCAAGAGATTGAGTTAATAATTGTTCACGCCTACTTAATGAAATCTTCAGAAAAATCCCAAAAGTATGGGGTTCAGAGAGCTCCCAGGTTGGTGACTACATCCACATGTCAGGAGGATAGCATACCCCAACTTTGTAAGAACAGAGACTCCTGTGCCAGAACCCTTCCAGATACAAAGGTTCTCATTTTTTAGGTATCTTTTTCATCTGTACATTTGTAATATTCTTTATAATAAACTAGTAAATATAAGTAATTGCTTCCAAGTTCCATGAGCTGGTGTAGCAAATTACCAAACCTAAGGAAGGGGTCTTGGGAACACTTGATTTATAACTGGTCAGTCAGAAGTACTGGTGACAACTTGGGACATGCAACTGGCATTTGAAGTGGGGGACAGTCTTCTGGGACTAAGCCTCTAACTTGTGGGGTGTATGCTAACTCCAGGTAGCTGGTATAAGAACTGAATTGTAGGACACCCAGTTGGTGTCCAGAGGATGGAAAATTGTTTGGCATAGGGAAAACCCCTACACATCTGGTGTCAGAAACATTGAGAGTAGAGAGGAAAAAATGGTGTTTTTCCTTTAGTTGTTGTCATAGGGGAAGGTGAAATGAGTTTTTCCTTTCATTTCACCTTCCCCTATGACACCAACTAAAGGAGTTTGTACTGATAAGCAAGCTTTACTCTCCAGTAACATATGAACTAGAAGGTAGGATACAGTTAGAAAAACCACAATATGGACACCATCATAGTAATAACTGATAAAGACAAGTACCATCAATAGATACCGGTGGGTAAATTTGATGAGAGAATAAAGTTTCAAGTGCCTCCCCACAGAATACACATTAATTAACACAACATTTTTATTCATTAACTTTATAGTGCAGAAACCTAGCAAACACACCTTAACCAGTGATTTAAATTTGACATCATCTGTAATGAGATAAATGACCATCACATGCCAGCCCCCAAGAGGAGTCTCTGAGAAGCCATTACCTCAAGGGTATTTCTGATAGAAATGCATAAACCATATAAAAACAGCAGACAAACCCAAACTGAGGAACAGACTAAAAAGGTCAAGGTTATAAATGATAAGGAAAGGCTGAAAAAACTGTTCCATACTAACAGAATAGAAAATCCTGACATAAACCCACAGATTCATGGTCAACTAATCTTTGACAAAGGAGCAAAGAATAAACAATGGAGCAAAGGAAGTTTGTTCAATAAAGTGCTAGGAAAATTTGGTTGCTACATGCAAAAGAATGAAGCTTGACTACTACCTCACACCATGCACAAAAACCAACTCAAAATGGATTAAAGAACTAGACATAAGACCTGAAACCATAAAATATATAGAAGGAAATAGAGGCAAAACACTACATGACAATCACCTCAGCAACATCTTTAAAGACTCATCACCCAAAGCAGTGATAGCGAAGGCAAAGATAAACAGCTGGGACTACATCAAATTAAAGAGCTTCTGTACAGCAAAAGAGACAGTAACCAAAACAAAGAGACACCCCACCGACTGGAAGAAAATTTTTGCACACAACACTAATGATAAAGGGCTGATCACAAAAATCTACAAAGAGCTGAAGAGACTCAACAAAAACAAAGTAAATAATCCAGTCAAAAAATGAGCAGAGGGCCTCCCCGGTGGCGCAGCGGTTGAGCGCTGGGTTTCGAAGCTGTCCTCGGCCTCTTGCAGAGCCTGTTTGATCCCCAGCTGCTCCCCGGCCACCGGAGGAGGGTCCCACATGGCATGCAGACCTCTCCCCTCAGCAGTGTACTTCGGTCCTTCTGCCTGTTCTGCTCCCTGCTCTGACTATGGTGAATTCTCTCACCCTCCCGCGCTTCTGACTGTACCCAGTGATTGTATAAATAAATAAATAAATCTTTAAAATTAAAAAAAAAAAAAAAAAGGGCAGAAGAGCTAAAAAGGAACTTCTCCAAGGAGGAAATGCAAATGGCCAACAGGCATATGATAAAATGTTCAGCATCACTTGTAATCAGGAAAATGCAAATCAAAACTACAATGAGATATCTTACACCAGTGAGAAAGGAACATATTAAAAAAACTAGCTACAACAAATGTTGGCAAGGATGTGGAGAAAAAGGAACTCTCCTGCACTGCTGGTGGGAGTGCAAACTGGTCCAACCACTACGGAAAGCTGTGTGGAGATTCCTTAACCTGCTAAAGATGGAGCTTCCATATGACCCAGCAATTCCACTCCTAGGTATTTACCCAAATGACACAGAAACATTAATTCCAAAGGGTACCTGCATCCCTATGTTTATAGCAGCACTATTTACAATAGCTAAGCTTTGGAAACAACCCAAATGCCCAAAAATAGATGACTGGATCAAGAAGATGTGGTACATACTCAGCAATCAAAAAAGATAAACTCATGCAATTTGCAGCAACATGGATGGAGCTGGAAGGGATCATGCTCAGCAAAATAAGCCAGAAAGAAAAAGAAAAATACCGGATGGTCTCACTCATAGCAGGAATTTAGAAAACCTAAATAAGGGACCAGGAAAAAGACTAATTATAATAAAGTAAAAATCAAAATCAACAAGCAACTATAAGTCAAAGACACACTGGTGGAGGGAGGGAAAAGGAGGGATTAAGGTCAAAATAAGGGGGGTGGGAATTGTATGGGGAATACAACCAAGATGAAAATGCATACATTGTGCAAAAATGAAAAATGATGTAAAAAATATAATAAAATAAAAATAAAAATAAAAAACTGTTCCATACTAAAGGAGATGAAAGAGAAATAACCACCAAATGCCATATATGATCCTGAGCAGGATCTTGGACCTGTAATAGACATTAATAAGACAAATGGCAAAATTTAAATAGAATCTGAGGATTAGACAATAGTGGAACAAATGTTAATTTTCTCATTGTGATGGATGTACCATGGAAAGAGGACTTGAATTTAAGGAACACACAAATTCAAGTATGAAGGAACTATAAGCAGAATAATGACCTCTCCGAAAGATGTCCATGTCCTTATGCCCTAAATCTTTAAGTATTTTCTCTTCTATGGGAAAGGATGCTAAATAACTCACCTTACAATATGGAGATTATCCTGGATTATTCCAGTGTGCCTAATGTAATCACAAGGGTACTTAAAAGCAGAAGAGGCTGGCAGAAGAAGGGAGCAAGAAAAGAAACGTGACAATGAAGGCAGGATCAAAATGATGGGATAGGACAACTTTGACCCATCATTGCTGGTTATGAAGATGGAGCAAAATACGGCTACAAACCAAGGAGTTCAGAACAGTCTCTAGAAGCTGGGAAAGACCAGCAAACAGGTTCTCCCCTACAGCTTCCAAAGCAGAGGCAGATCTGCCAACACCTTAACTTTAGCCCAGAGACTTGTGTCAAACTTCTATAGGTTAATAAACACATTGTTTTAAGTCACAGCATTGTTTTAAGTCACAAAGTTTGTGGTAACTTGTTACAACAGTAACAGAAAAACTCACTTAGGAATAATGGAGCATTATTATCTCTGCAACCTGTTCTTAAACCATTATTAAGTTTGGAATACACATGAGAAGCAAATAGAACATTATTTCTACAACTTTTATGTAAATTGAAATTGTCACAAAATATTTTAATTAATGAGAAATACATTTTGACTTACCAAAATTTCCTAATTGGTAGTTTTGCAAGATAGACTACCCTTCTAAATTCAGAAGAGTTTTCAGTCATGTTCTCATAAAAAAACCTGAGAGAATTCTCAGATAAGGTATGGGGTCCATCTCCAGAACTTTCTCTCACTACTTCTAGATCTCCTGGCCCAGAGCCCTTACCTGTAGATAGTGATGTGGGGAGACAAAGGACGGTTTGAACTAGTGTTCTTATTCCAGAACCTCTCCATCTCTTCTTTCGCTGAGGTTCCCAAAGGAACAGTACTAAAAAAAAAAATCAGAAGGTTTAAAATTTTGAGTAAACTTAGTTTAAATTTTAACATAACAAAAAGTCTCTTTAAAAAGGTAAACTAGGCTGGATGAACCCACTGTAATAGGACATAGACTAGCCTTATCTTTATAGCAGTTTGACTCAGTATTAATAACCCCAATCTCCTAATGAGGTCCTATCAGAAGAAAACTCCTTTCTAATCCCCCTAAAACATAACCTGCAGTGGCAATTCACTTTCTTTCTTGTTGGACAGCAGGGCAAGTGCACTATTTCAAAACCATTCACATAAGTGAATAACCCTTTTCCCAGGCCACAGTGCTACCGCACAGTCTCTTCAAGACTCCCCTCGGGTTCTTAAATATCAAGAACTATTCAGCTCCTTTGAATAGTTTCTCATTTCCTTTGTCACTAGGCTAGGTTGAAACCAGTTGTTAAACAATTATATTCAACACTTTATTTATTTTGTATCAATATTGAGAAGACTGCATGTCCCTTTAGAAATTATCTCCCCATAGCTTACTTATTAATTACAAAATGAAAAATAGTAACTTCATAATGAGAAAAAAACCTAGCATACATTTCTTTTTTCAAATGATCAATGTGAAAATCATTGATAATAGAACACATGACATCCTCTGCTCCCTGATACCATGTATTAGTATTAATATTACTTATGTATTACTCATTCAAAAAATGCAAAACCTGAATTTAATCATTAGGAAATAAACCCAACTTGAGAGACATTCTACTGTCTAAGAGATAACAGTACATAATGTTAAATTTCCTGAGTTTGATAATTGTGTTGTACAGATGTATAGTATTATATAAAATAATGATCTTGTTTTAGAAGTATTTAGAAGTATAATGATATTTTAAACTTAATCTGGAAGAATTCAGAGAAAATAATAACAATAGATAAATATTAGGCTAAAACACTGAATTGTCAATATTAGACCAGGTTTGACCTACAAAAACAACCTCATATGGCACAGCCAAAACACAGAGCAATAAATAACGTAACAAAATGTTAACAATTGATGAATCTAGGTGAAAAGTATACAGAACTTCATTACAGTATTCCTCCAACTTTTCTAAAAGCATCAAATATTTCCAAAATTGAAGTTAAAGAGGCGGGGTGTGTGAGTGTGTGTGTGTGTGTAATTGTTGAAATCAATAGAGTAGTAATGACTATAGCAAGAAGAAATATATTTAAAGACTAAGTCCTGGGTGCTAACCCAAATTAAGGGTTAAAGAAAAAAAATTAAAAGGAGAAAGACTAAACAGAAAGAAGAGTAAACAGAATCAGACTAAACAGAAAGAAGAGAACCAAGGAAGGAATCCAGAATTGGAACAAATCAATGAAGTTAAAGCATAAAAAGTTAATAGGAAAATTAAGACTAAAAAAAATCTTTCTACTACAAGGTAAGAAAAATAATGACCATAATCAGTACATTTTCTTTCTTCTTTTTTTTTTTTTTAAAGATTTATTTTATTTATTTATTTATACAAGCACTGGGTATAGTCAGAAGCATGGGAGGGTGAGAGAATTCGCCAGAGCAGGGAGCAGAGCAGGCAGAAGGAGCGAAGTACACTGCTGAGGGGAGCAGCGGGTGGCAGGAGAGGTCTGTGCGCCACATGGGACCCTCCTCCGGTGGCCGGGGAGCAGCCAGGGATAGAACCAGCGCTGCCGCTGCGCCACCGGGGAGGCCCCCATAATCACTACATTTTCAATGACATGTCTACAACTGCCTGCTTTCATACATACCCCCCAAAATTGAAGTCAACAACCTACTGCTTTTCCCTGGGGGAAAAAAAAAAGTTAACTAATAGTAATCTTTTGCAGACTTTCAAACTTACTTTCTGATGCAGAGCTGAGGACTAAGATGGGCACGGAGGCAATGACGGCCAACATGTCTGCAAGGTAGGAGAATCAAGAGTTAATACATACTTAGAGGTCAACTTCAGTTATATGAACTTCTCTACTTTTGTGCTGTGTTAGACTTAGAAGGATAGATTGTAAACAATGACAGTATCAGTATCTCTGAGATTACTTACATAACGTGAGAATAATCAGAAATATTACCTACCAATGCGAAATATTTTTAACTGAACACAAATACAAGGTCGTTAGTTATATTCAACAGAGAATTACAGAAAGTGATTTTTTAATGCTAAACCTTAAAGATGATGGTTAAGACGGGTAAACCCAAAACCAAAATAAACTCTAGGTAACACCAAATATGTAGTTTAGCGACTGCAGACACCTGCTGCAAATGGATGAATAAAAAAGGCTGAAGAACAAGGGCTTGTGGAGGTGGGGTCTCAAATATTAAGCTGCTATTTTGGGAACTACCAGTGAATTCCAGACAACCTAGATGAACTTCAAGTCAAAGTCTCTTGTGTAACAGTAAAAAAACCTCATGGCTGCAAAGATTTACCACCCACATGAAAAGGTACTTGAAGAGGATATAGAATTCTCTACTGAAAATCAGCTATTTTTGAAATGTATACATCAGCACCAGAACTGCTTTTCAAGTCTCAGACTAAGCTGTTCCCAAGCATTCAATCTAAAGAGATTTAACTTATCCTGAGTTTACACCATATTATGAAAAACACAAGACCTATATAAACCCTTTATTCACTAGATACTCAATATATTAAATCTTGCCAAAAGTATGTAAGAAATGTATCAGAGTAAAGCTCTGGGACTAAAAAATTTTAACGCATTGATTCTACAAAAATTTACTGAGTATTCACTGTGTGCAAGACACTATGATTCCACAATCTTAAACTCATGATGTCTGTCACTGATGAGACACACACAACCATTTCAAGAACCACATGCTTTACACCAGAGTATGCTAGAAGGGCCCACTATTTGAAGGAAAATAGTCCAATCAATATTTCCCTCAGCTATTCCCTTTACAGCTTTGGGACCAAGAGGTGAATACAGACATTGTGTATCCAAGGCTCCCAGAAAGAAGTGGGAACAAATCTCTTTAAATCAATTGAAATAATTGTGACTCTGAAGTTGCAGGGCACACATTCCTCACACCAGGCTGGTCCAGTCACTCAGCTACCCAGCAAGAGTTTGCAGATGTGGGCTGGAATCTAAGGCGCTCTGTCTAGTGCTATTGTTTCCCAGACAAATACCAATGTAAACTTTCTACAAGGCCCTAATAGAAACTAGTTGCACAAATTCCATAACCTTATTTGAAATATGATAAAAGTAGACATCTATACTTGCCTTTCATGTGAAACCATGAACTTTGAAAGGTGTTTCTCTTTTTTTACCCAGGAATTATGCTTTACATGCTATAGCTAGAGTAATATTAACTTTGCCTTATTTTTAATAAGACAAAATTTCTAATTTCTAATAAGTGCTGTCCCCCTGCAAATACACTGAATGAAATGTAAGTCTTCCCCAAAAATGTGATCACTGCCCAAATCGTTTTTTGAAACCCCCCTACTGATTGGGGCAGCAAAAATAAAGTAGAAAGCAAATTGGACAAAATAAATAGCCAGAACAGAGTTCTAGATCTGCGTACCTTGTGTAACTTTATTGAGTCACTGAGTTTCAGCTTTTTCATTTATAAATGGGATTGATAATTCCTACCTTATTGGTTGTTGGGAGGATTACAAGATGTAGAAGAAAGCATTCTTTAAACTGCAATATTCCATATATTTCACTGCCCTCTCCAAGGTCTTTAGAATTGTTTCACATTCTTTTTAAAACACTCAATGGTGACAAAAAATATTCACCTGCTGAAAACAGATTTGGCTTTTGGGGGAAAAATGTTATTCAAAGCCAATTCTAGGGATTACATTGAATAGAACCATTTTTGGTTCAAATAAAAGTGTGACTATCATGAGTTTCTCTAGCATGAACACTAAACTTGATTTGATGGTATCCAAAAAAAGTTCATAAATGTCTGGGGTAATAACACTAAAATAGATGTATAATCTTGAAGGACATGATGAAGCATGATCACTTACATATGAAAATTTTGAATGTTACTGGCACCCAACTAACTCCCACACTGCAACCCAAGTCATTCTTGATTTCTTCTTTTCTCTCACCCCCAAGTATATGCAAGGTATCGCCCAATTCTACCAATACTATCTAGGAAACTTCAGTCCATATCCGCTTCTTTTCTCACTAGAACACTGTAATAGGAGCTCATGAAAAGATTTCCCTAGCACCAATCTTTTCCTTATCACTCAATATTACCAAAACTATTATTTTTCTGCCCAAGTTTTTAACAGTCCCCACTGCTCATACTATGAGATTTAATACTGTGGCCAAAAAAGTCCCTTCTCAACATGGCCTAATTCAACTCTCTGGACGTATTCTCCCACAAATTCCCCATCTACTCCCAACTACCACACTGTGACATTATGCTTAGATAGAGTAGGCCCTCTTACGACTGCATGCTTTTGCTCATACTGTTCTCTAACTGCGTCGTCCTTCATAACCTAAGGAACTCACTCTTCAGGGCCTCGCTGGTGGCCTAGCTAGGGCTAAGTCTCAGTGCTATTACTGCTACAGCCTGAGTTCAATCTCTGGCCAGGGAGCTAACCCACATAGGGCACAGCAGACCTCTCCTGTCTTGCCCGCTGCTCCCCTTAGCATTCACCCCCCGCACCTCTGGCCTACACTCATTCTTCTGTGCAAAATAAATAATGCTTTCTTTGGGGAAAAATCTCACTCTTCAACACCCAACAATTCTTACAGCAACCTCACTATTTCTTTAGCGTTACTTGCTACACTTGCCATGCTCCCATACCATGTGTTCATATCTTTACATCACCATTATGTTGCTTAATAATTAATCTATTTACTTACCTCCCCTGCTAGACTTTGAGCTCAAGGATAGGACTAGAATACTTGGCATCTATAGCACTTGTAACAATGTCTGACACATAAAAGATGCTCCAAAAAATGGTTTGTGAATAGTAGGCTTATTTTAAAAAGCAGTCTTATGAATTTACAGGTAAACCTTATTTTTAGAGGTGTCCAGGTTATTGACTCTTGATGACTTTGTGCTTAGGCAGCATGAACATTATTAGACAGAAGCCCAGCTGCTCTTAGAGTTCTCCATCTCCATCTTGCTTGTGACTATTATTCCTTCACTGAGTGCCAATGGAGTCTGTGTTACTCAGCTGGCTAGTCATCCGTCCCATGAACTGTTTGGGGAGTATACAAAATAAAGAGCACTATACAAAAGTCATGACAAACTATGTTCTAATAACTGATAACTTTGTTAGCCAAGAATTAAAAATGTCTACCAACATTCCTCTTAAGTGGGCCCAAGTTATTACTATTTCCATCCACAAATGAGGAAACCATGATCATGAAATCAATGACCTTGACTTGTTCAAAATAAATGGAATAAGTAACACTACTAGTACTAGAAACTAACTCCTAGAATTTCTTGGAAGGCATTTTCCTTTGAGAGTAAATCAACACATTATAAACCACAAATGGATTTAGACCTAGAACTTAAATCAGGGGAAAATTTTTTTTATTTATTTCTCCTCCTGAGGAAAAAAAAAACAAAAAACTTGTGAGAAACAAACACTGAGGTGACTTTTCCATGAGATCTTCAGATTATCATTAATGAAAAAGAAGTCTACTTCTTGGCATTGAGGCCTAGTGGGGACAATCAAAATAATTCTGCCTGGTCACATTTAATGATAGTCAGCTTCTAAACACTTATCCTCAAACTCTTAAAGTTAACTGTTTAGAGCCAATGTGATCATTTCATGCTAAATGTTAATTCCACCAAAAGCCCCTGACATCTACCAAAATACAGTAGAATCAAAGAATTCAAAAGCATCCAATTATGGTCAAACTCCTGGAATAAATGAGGCAAGCTTGCTCTCCTGCACACGTTAGGAAAAAAGATGGAAAAAAAAGGTACACCTGGAAATGAAAGGCAGGGAGAAAAATGAAGGGTTAAGATAACCCGTTCCTGGTCTCAATTCCAAAAGGAATTTTGTCACAGAGAAAAACTAAATAAAGTGTCTCTATTTTTATACTGAGTGAAGTGGAAAGAAAAATGAGAAGACATTTGGAGAAATCAGGGCCTGAAATCTCAACAGTATTAAAGCTAACTTTCCATAACAAATAGTTTCCAAAAATAGGGCTGGCAGGAAACTATGCTGGGATTTGTACCAAGACTGTCAAAGTCACTACAGTTAGAAAGGCTCTGAGTACAGAACAAGGCCTAGTCGGTGGTCAGTCCAGAAAGGAAGAAAATCTAGGATATTCTCTGAATAGTGACTGTAGAGAAAAAAATGGGTCACCCACTCCCCGTAAATAAAAAAATAAAACCTAAACTGAATTCCCTGGGCTGCTCTGGGCCAGCAGAGCGACCCCTGTGGCGCTACAGTTAATCGGGCTGAACAGGCAGGGGTCCCGGCTTCCTGCAGCCGCTGCCCGGAGGCCGTCAGGAACCGGGACAACGCCAGTTGCTGGCGTTTGCAGGATTTAGAAGCAATGGCAAAATACTGCAAGATCTCTCTCCCGAGACCCAACCCCTAGTAAGAATCTTGGAATTGAAGTACGCTGATCTCGAACTGAGAGCTATTTAATTTTCTAGGAGCCTGGCTTCGGGTCCGACCTCGAGAGCAATCTGGGAAAGCAGTATAGGGGTGAGAAAAATAAAAGGAACGGGGCCGCGCGACTCCGGCGTAGGGAGTAACAAAGTGATAACGGACCGTGACCCCAAAGCCCTGAGGCGACCCGGAGCGGCTGGGGAGGGGTCACAAGGACTCGGAGGCTTGCGGCCCCCGCACCCATGGGATCTCCCCTGCCCGGGCACAGGAGAAACGCCATCGGCGAGACATCAGAAGCAAGTCCAAGCCTTCCGAGGGCCGCGAGTACCGACTCCCAGCCCCAGACTAAAGTCACCTCAACAAGAGCGCAGCCATCTTGGGTTCCGGCCTGGACGGAAGTGATACAGACGCTCCGCCCTCTCTGCCCGGGAGGGGGCGGGGCGGATCCTGTCACGTGATGTAGCGGGGCCCTTTAAAAGGCTCCAGCCCCTCGGCTGCTGACGGATCAGCCCAAATGCTGGGATTGTGTGACCTCGGCGCGCTCCTCCCCCGGCCCCCTCGGCGCTCTTCCAGCAGGGGCTGCCAGGGTGTTGGCAGAGGTGCGGCAGACTCAGGCTCTGCGTCTGCGTCTCATAAGCACCCGGTTTTTCTCTACCGTTTCAGTTCACTGTCAGGCGAAACACCCTAGATTTTCTTCATGTTCTGAACTGTCCAATCTGTCAACTTGATTTGTTTCACACCCAACAGCTGACTTGCCCAAGGACTTCTCAGTCCAGTTTCACCCCTCCGTGGCAGACTAAACACGTCTTGGTGGGCCCGTCAAAACTTCCAGACAAAGGGTTCTTTGGGTTGCCTCAGGTTCCCAAAAGTGAGAAACATAATTTGAGATCCAAGTGGGGGAGTGTGAGAGTGGGCCGGGTGGGGGTAGGGGGCGCCTAATCAGTCCCAAGACCAGGCCTGCTCTGACTACCTCGCTTTATGCCCCCCATTCTTGCTTAAGCTACCACATGAGCTAGTCGCCCACCAGTCATAGACAAGGCTCCCTTGTTTTTTCTTTCAGAGCTGCGTGGGTGTCACCCACAGAAAAACCTGAGTTGGGGGTGGGGAGAACTCACTTTGATCCATATATGTATCTCAGGAACCCAAGCACAGTGATCAATTACAGAACATTTATGACTGAAAAGAGGAAAATAGAGCAAGTAAGAAAGAAACGGAAGAATTTTGCAAAAATTCTTGAGTCTTTGAGAGGGAGGAGGGTAAAGACGATGGCCCAGGGCAACTCCCATTCTGCAATCGAATGTATTCCGTTGCATTAATATTCAGATCTTATTTATATTTAGCACTTCTGCACTTTTCCTTTCAGGATTTAAATAGCACAAATTCACTTATTTATGCATCAAATAAAAATACTATTTTGCATTTCTATAATGCTTGACAAAGAAAGCACTTTCACAGACTTGTATTGGAGGAATAATAGAAGGTCTCCAATCCCATGATCTACCCAGTGGAAAAATCTGCAACATTGCTGACCCTGATTTTGAAGATCAGGCTCTAACACCAGTTCGACAATGGTTAATCAAAAAAGCAAGTTTCCTTTAGTGAACAAGGTAATAATTAGAAAGTTGTTATATTAAAATACAGTTCTCTACTATTGAACTTTTAGTCTTTGATCCTACATTAGCCATCTAGGACTTCACATTAGCAAATCAATGCATGCCTCTTTCACTAACTAAATAATTTCATTTAACATATGTGTATCAACTTTCTGTCAGTAAGTGAGAGAACTTTAGAGGATTTAAAGATACAGATTTGTAAGCTTAAAGCCTTAGTTGGATCAGTAAATAAGTAAATACAAGAAAGAAAGTAGCAACCCCTTGAAAGAGGTATAGGGGAAAGGAATGGGTAGATAAAAGCTGAAGAGGTGGGGATTAGGAATAAATATTGACTGCAAAATCCTGTAGACATTTCTTGATGATGATTTGACCTATGGAGTTTATGATGAACTCCCATATTTAACTTAACCCCACCTTTGTCTCCCCAAACCAGATTCTGAATTCCTCAAAGGAGGGACTTAATTTTTAATATCCTCTTCTATTATCCGCATACCCATACTTTACATGTAGCTGGCACACAATACAATTTTGTTGGATTGTTCTAAATTGAAATGGGCTTAAACTGCAGCATGAAGCAGGCATTGAGGAGCTCCTGACAATGAGGGAAAGTAGGGGGATCCTTCCCTGGGTATTTTCCAGTGGAGAAAAGCTATCTGGGAGGACTCACCAGGATGCAGGAAGAGGTGAAGAAAAATTTTTTAAAAAGACCCCAAGGGACCTGGTCATCTCAAGAGAACTGGAATGCATTCCACGGTGGTCAAAATATGAAGGGATATCCAAGTTCCCTGGGGAGACTTGTCTCTAGCTCCTAGGGCTTTGGGAAAGCCCCACTCAGGCAGGGAGACAAGAGAGGTATCCCTTGCTCTTAGGATTCAGGCCCTAGGATTCACACTCAGAGAAGTGTGTTTGTGTCCCTTTTCTGTCCCTCTTTCTCATTCCCTCCCCAACATTCCAGCCTAGGGCAGGGGGAGGCAAGCAGACACAAAGTCTTCTATGTCTGGGGTGGTATGTGTCCCCCCACCCCTCCACCCAGAAGACACAATGCCCCTTCTGCTTCCTGCACTCTGCCCCCCTCCCCACCACCTCTCAACTGCACATGCCAAGCAGCAATTGGTTACTGGCTCAGGACAGCCCCCTCAGACTGGGGCCCTGGGGGATTTTAAGCGGGTTCCAGGAACCCCCGCTCAGTTCCTTATCCCCCACTCTCCCAGTCCCACAGCTGCTTTGGGTCCTGGCCCCTGCCCCAGCTATGGCTCCTGGGGCTCCTTCATCCAGACCCAGCCCTATCCTGGCTGTGCTGCTCTTCTCTTTGGGTAAGTCTGGGAGACTGGGGCTTAGGCTATCTCTCAGCAACCTTCCCACTGCCTTTGCTGCATTTCTCACTGCAATCAAAGCAGGAAGATAAGATTATATTCAGAGAAAAAAATTGTTTGGAGGGAGGCATTAAAGGTATTCTGTGAACGGAGAAGGCAAAAGAGAGTGTTCACAGCTTTCCTGAGTAGACTAGACCCCAGTTGAAACCAGTAAAATACCCCCAGGACTATGCTGAGGGCCTGGAAGGAATCAAGTCGGATCAAGGTAAGGAATCTTTGGAGATTCTAGTCCCCATTCCTCCTCTAGTAGTGCAGGAGATACCTGACCTTAGTGTCCCCAATGAGAAAAGTCAGGTAATGGGTTCTAAGGAAGGAATCCAATGTTTATGGTCCCAATGCTTCACATCCTTTGTCTCTTGGTGCCTCAGTTTCTCTCTGTGGCACCATTATCTATTTCAGTGGGCAAATGGGGTATAAGGGAGATTCTATGAAATTCTAGGACCTTGTCTATGGAAAGCTCTCTCTCATCATAAGTTGACCAGCTCCTCCTTACCCCATGGTAGATATTAAGTGAACAAGAGCATGTCAAAGCAGGGTTATTTGTGTGGATCTTTCCTATCTCTGAACCTCCCTGTAGCCTCCTGCAATGGTTGAGCAGTAGGCAAATAGTGGTGGGGGACTGGTCAAAATGTTCAAGTTTCTCTGTGTTAGCTCCTTAAGACCTAAACCTACAAGCTAGACTCATCTGGGCGATAGTAGACTATTGTGGGAAAAAGTTAAGACGAGGGAGCTGGGGAATGGTATGGTAAGGGAAATGGTAAATCTTGGAGTATAAATGGGGAAATAGAGTTCTGTCTTGACATTGGTCCTACTCATAGAACCATTGAGCAGTGCTGCAGGGCAGTGGTGGAGAATAGAATAGGAGGGATAGAAGTGGGGTCCAGTGAATAACCTTCCTGATTACATTTGGGATTCCCAAGAAAGCTTTAAGGCTGAAGTGCCAGGAGGTGAGTCAATGATTTTGCACTGAGGTAGAGACCTGGGACTATGGAGTAGGGAAGGGTGAGTTTCATGAGGACCAAGGTTGGTCAGACAATGGGTCTTTGTTGTTCAATTGCCTCCTCACCATCCTGTAGAACAAAGGGGTCTACAGTGGCCCCCACCAGGACCAGCCCACACACATAGTCTCCCTGGAATGGCCTTTCATGTGTGGGTGAGTCTTGGGAGTGGCACCAGGCCAGAATGGCCAAAAGGAGAGTGAGGAGGGTCAAAGCACAGAGGGCTCACATGCAGAGTCCTCTAGGCTTGGGAATCTTGCTCTTTACAGCTTCCCTGAGAGAAGTATAAGGACCTTCCATTCCTGACCTCCCAGTCAAGAGTCAGCGGTCAGTCAATCAGGGACTCAGCAGGGAGAACAATTAGGCCAGGAAGGGAGACCTATATTCTTTCTTTTTTTTTCTGCAAGAAATTTGAAATACTACACAGCTGTAAAAAGTCAGATAGATTACTATGATTCAAATGGAAATCCCCACCAGATACATATATTCTTTCTTTTGTATGCAAAACACTAAAATATAATGCAATATATGTAGAAAGCTCAAAAAAACAAAAACTATTTCTTATAATAACTTGAATTTATTACATTAATATGAGATTGGATACATGAGAGAACGTTACACATTAAACTGATAACAATGCTTAATCTGGGAAGGAACAACAGAGACTTTAGTTTTATCACTGTTGCTTAAATAGTGTATAAGAATGCTATATGTATGATCTGTGTAATCTATAAAAATTTTTTAAAAATCTTTAAGCCTGTGCCTAAGGGATGGTTAGATACTGACCCAAAGGGAAGGTGTGACTGAATCCAACTTCTGGAAGTTCTCAAGAGAGGACTGTTACTGTTGCTTTCATTTCCTTTATCAGACAGAAGAACTTGAACAACAAAGCATTTTTTGTTCATTTTAGTCCAGAAAGATTCAGGCTTAGAATTGGTCATTTCCATCCCATATTTGCATTGAATTTTGACACAAGCCTTGCCTTCCCATTGCTCTCACTTTCTGTCTCTGCCTTGGGCTCATGTGTGCATCTGATCCCCCTCTCTGCTGCAGTGCTCTCCCCGGCCCAGGCCATCGTGGTTTACACGGATCGGGAAGTCCATGGTGCTGTGGGTTCCCGGGTGACCTTGCACTGCTCCTTCTGGTCCAGTGAGTGGGTCTCAGATGACATCTCCTTCACCTGGCGTTACCAGCCCGAAGGGGGCCGTGATGCTATCTCGGTGAGTACCTAGGGCAATCCTGGTACTTTTCAAGAACGAAAAGAGGAGGGGTTAAGGAGGGGAAATCCTTTATAAGCCATCACCTCAATTTTGGTAAGGTAAATGGCAATCTTTTTCTCCTGATAGGACTTTTCTAAACTGTCCCCCTCCCCAGCACCACCCTCTCCAATTCCAGACCCCTCACTCACTCCAAGCCTAGAGCTCCATGCTTCCCCTCATTCTTCACAGATCTTCCACTATGCCAAGGGACAGCCCTACATCGACGAGGTGGGAAGCTTCAAAGAGCGCATCCAGTGGGTAGGCGACCCTCGCTGGAAGGATGGCTCCATTATCATACACAACCTGGACTACAGTGACAACGGCACATTCACCTGTGATGTCAAAAATCCACCCGACATAGTGGGCAAGACCTCCCAGGTCACGCTCTATGTCTTTGAAAAAGGTGTGAGAGGAGATGGGGGCAGGGCCTGGGAGGCAGAACAGGGAGGGGACCAGGGAGAACTGAGAGACTGTGGGGAGAGGCAGGACGCTGGAGCCCTTCTGGCTCTGGGAAGGTGGGCAGGAGATACCTTGACTGGGAGCCCTGCAACCCCCAACTTTAGGGTGTGGTGGCTTGGGACCAAAGGTGCATGTTCCTGCTCATTCAGTGAAGATCTTTCCCTCTCCTAGTGCCCACGAGGTATGGGGTGGTGCTGGGAGCCGTGATCGGAGGTGTCTTGGGGCTGGTGCTGCTGCTGCTGCTGCTTTACTACCTGATCCGGTACTGCTGGCTGCGCAGGCAAGCGGCCCTGCAGAGGAGGCTTAGGTAAGGGCAAGCCTGACTCCCCTTCCATCGCTCCAGAGGCCACTCCCGCGGGCTGAGAGGGTTCAAGAGAAGGGGCACTGTGCCCACTGTGACAGGCGCTGGGGCACAGCCAAACCCAGCACCCCTTTCTCTGCAGCGCCATGGAGAAGGGGAAGTTGCACAAGTCTGCAAAGGACTCCAAACGTGGCCGGCAGGTGAGCCGGACTCAGACCCGCACAAGCTGAGGCGGGGGAGAGGGGCAGCCGGGCAGCGCTGACGGTGGGGTGGATGATGCGTGTCCTCTTGCCGCAGACACCAGTGCTGTATGCCATGCTGGACCACAGCAGAAGCACCAAAGCTGCCAGTGAGAAGAAGAAAGGGCTGGGGGATTCTCGCAAGGATAAGAAATAGCGGTTAGCGGGCCGGGCGGGGGGTCGGGAGTCCGCGGCGGAGTCCTCCAAGGGCTCTCGGGTGGTGGTCATCGAGATGGAGCTACGAAAGGATGAGCAGAGCTCGGAGCTCCGACCAGCTGTCAAGTCCCCCAGCAAAACCAGCCTCAAGAACGCCCTCAAGAACATGATAGGCCTGGACTCTGACAAGTGATCGCCGCCCCTCCCCTAGGCCCTACTAGAGCAGGGGGACCTAGGCCCCTCTTATCACCTGTCTAGGTGCTTTCCGCCCTAGCCCCCAGCCCTGCCCTGCCCACGCCTCCCTTTGAGATGTAAGTTTCATTCCAAAACTCAAACCCCTCCCACCTGCTATGCTCCCTCCCTCGCCCTCCCCTCCCCCCAGGCTTTCTGGAAGCCCAGGGCCGGATCCTACCCATCACTGGCCCCAAGGACTGTGTGTTTGGTGCCTGTCCCTCTGGCACTGAGAAGAAAGGGACCTTGATACCCCCTGCCACAACCCAGGTCACCCGGCTTTCCCATCTCCTGCTGCCACCCACCCTGTCCTCTGGCTTTTCCCACTTTTTCAATCCCTCCCCTCCATCAGGTCATCCAGCAACATTTTCTACCCTACCCCCCAACCACACCCCCCAACCCCTCCACGCCCCTACGCCCCACCCCCCACCCCCTTAGCTAACACCCTGGTCACCCAGAGCAGACTCTCCTTCAGGGTTTATTTAGGTTTGGTGGTTATTTTTTATTTTTAATCCACTCTATTTGTTTACCTGTGCCTTTGCTCTGCCCTCTCCCCATGACTGAGTACCAATGACGTCATGTGGTTTTTGCAATTCCCCCCACCCCAATTGAGTCCTTCTCAGACAGCCAGCTCAGGAAGAGGGGACCCTGATCCTCAAACCTCAGCTGCAGGATTGGTGCCCCCTCACCACTTCAGAGCACTGTCCTGAGACTCGAGGTCACAGGGAAGGAGAGAGGGAAAGAATGGGTCCTCACAAGACAGGGGGGTTGAGGAGGGGGCAGTGAGCCCTAAGAAATGACTTTTAAACAACCAAACAGGAAAAACAAATGAGAAAGAGGGGGAAGGGAAGAGGCTGCATTCCCAGCCACAGAGGATTCTTAGGATTTTTCTACATTCTGTATATTTCTTCTCAAACCCCCAAATATCCCTAAATGTTTAATAAACACTGACATTTCCAGAAGCTGCTGTCTCCAATTTCCTCATTCTCTTGGGAATAATCCCTGCCCTTTATCACATTCCTCACCCTCCCTGGATCCCCCTCCTCATCAACTAGTTTCAGTTGTTAAAAGTTTGGTTTTATGGTATAGGAACAGTGGAAAGAACTCTGAAACACACTCACAAGACAGATTCATACATTCAACAAATACCCAGTTGGCTTATACTACCAGGCTGTCAGGCTAAGCATTTATATAGGTAAAAACACACACTCCCCTCTTCATCCAGATCTGAATTCTTAAAATAGCTCAGCAACTGGCTAATCCTTTATAATTGTATGGTGTGACCTGTTACTTTACTAGTTAGCTGACTTTACTAGTTAGCTGATTTAGTTCCATGTTTGTAAACAACACAGATAATGGTACTAAATCCCCTGGCCCTGCTTAATTCCCAGGGTTGTTGTGAGAGTCAAATGAGGTCCTGTGTATGGAAAACTTTGTAATCTATATATTGATTTACAACTGAGATATTGAGGTTCAGGCCTTTAAAGTGTTACTAGATCTTGCCTAAAGGATTATACTTTATAAACTAGCACAAATCCCAGTCACCTCTAGAAACTCATGCACACACAATTTTGTTTTGTTGGTATGCTGTTTTAAGTACACTATTAATAGCTCATCCACTTGTTTTTTTGGTGCAGTAATTTAGGTGCACCATTACTATCCTGGAATGATTGTGGAAAAATATATATGTATTATTTTCCCCTGGGGGGAACACTGATGGCAAAAAGAAAAAAAGAGATTCACACAATCACTTCTTCACTTTGTTAAGAGGTTAAAGATAGATTTTTTAGCACCAGCTTTGCCAAAAAGCCAGAGTTCTTCCATTTATTTCAAGGGGTCTTCTTCTTCAAAAGTCTACTACTTTTTTTAAAAAAGCAAATTAGCCCAAATTCATTTTAATATAAAAATTAATAGATTCTATTAGGTAAATGCAAATCAAAACCATGAGATAGATACCATTTACCCTCATTAGCATAGCTTATATATATATATATATTTGTTTAAGCAGAAAATAAAAATTATAAATGAGAATGCAGAGAAACCTGAACCCTCATGAATTGTTGGTAGGAATGTAAAATGATATGGCTACTGTGGAAAACAGTGGTAGTTCCACAACAAGTTAAACATGAACTTACCATATGATCTAGCTGTTCTACTTCTGGGTATATACCCAAAAGAATTGAAAGTAGGGTCTTGAAGAAATATTTGCACAACCATGTTCATTGCATCATTATTCACAACAGCTAAAATGTGAATGCAGCCCAACTTACATCGGTAAGTAAATGGATAAGCAAAATGTGGTCTATGCATACAATGGAATATTACTCAGCCTTTAAAAGGAAGAAAATTCTGACACATGATACAACAAGGATGAAATTTGATGACATCATGCTAGGTGAAATAAGCTAGTCACAGAAAAGGTAGTGTATTATTCCACTTATGAGGTACTTAGAGTAGTAAAAAATTATAAAGCTGCAAAGTAGTGTGTTTACCAGGAGCTGGGGAAAGGGATATATTTTTTTAAAGATTTATTTATGCATAGAAGAACTGGGGTACAGGCCAGAGGTGGGAGGGGTGAGAGGATTCACCAGAGACAGAGTGAGGAACAGGACAGGCAGACTGAGAAATACACTGCTGAAGGGAGTAGGGGGCGAGACAGGAGAGGTCTGCTGAGCCATGTGGGTTGTTCCCTGACTGCTAAGGATTGAACTCATGCTGCAGTGGCTGTGGATAGTTTCTTGGGTTGCATCTTAACCACTTGTGCCAGCAGGGAGGACCCAGGAAAGGATTTTTTTAATAGGCATAAGATTTACAAGATGAAGAGTTGTGGAGATGGATAATGGTGATGGTTGCACAACACTATGAATGTATTTAATATCAATAAACTATAAAATTAAAAAGGATTAAGGTAGTCATTTTATGTTAAGTGTGTTTTGTCACATAAAAAAATTGGAAAATAGGAGTTAATACAATCTATATAGATTTTGGGTGGGAGAGGAAGTTTAGTTACAACTAAATAAAGTTTAAGATACCTTATGAGTGGAATAGTATACAGAGTTCAGAAACATGCAAATTAAGTGTGGGAACATTTACATTGTAAAAATACTGTGGTTTAAAAACAACACTCCTGTTCAGTGGTTAATGAATGGATTCTTTTATAAAAGATATTGGTACTTGGGCCTCCCCGGTGGCGCAGTGGTTGTGCGTTGGGTTGCGAAGCTGCTGCAGCCTCTGCAGCACTGGTTCGATTCCCAGCTGCTCCCCGGCCACCGGGAGGAGGGTCCCACATGGTGCGCAGACCTCTCCTGCCGCCCGCTGCTCCCCTCAGCAGTGTACTTTGGTCCTTCTGCCTGCTCTGTTCCCCGCTCTGGCTCTGGTGAATTCTCTCGCCCTCCCGCGCTTCTGACTATACCCAGTGCTTGTATAAATAAATAAAAATAAATCTTTAAAAAAAAAAAAAAAAAAAAGATATTGGTACAATTGACTTTTATGTCTGGAAGAAAACAAAGTAAGACCTTTGTCTCACAACGGATAAAAAGTAAAATCTAGATGCAAAAGAAATACAAATATTAGAAGGAAATAAGAATTTTGTTTATTCTCCAAATGGTGAATGTCTTTAATCAAGACTGGAAATCCAGAAATCATAGCAGAAGTATACAAATATTGAGTCTCTTTAATGGCAACATATATTACAAACAAAACTCAGAGACAATTAATAGTCATGGAGAAAGATGAAGTATTTTCCTACATGTAACACATTCCGATATCTCCCATATTCCCCTCTCCAACTACTGTTCCATTTCTCTGCTTCCCTTTTTTATTTTTTTAAAGATTTATTTATTTATGCATACAAGAACTGGGACACAGGCCAGAGATGCAAGGGGTGAGAGGATTCACCAGAGACAGAGTGAGGAGCAGAACAGGCAGACTGACTGAAATACAGGGGAGCAGCGGGCGAGACAGGAGAGGTCTGCTGTGCCCTGTAGGTAGCTCCCTGGCCGAGGATCAAACTCGGGCTGCAGTGGCTGCTGATAGCTTCATAGGTTGCGTCTTAACCCCTTGCGCCATGAGGGAGGCCCTTTGCTTCCCTTTATAGCAAAATTCCTTGAATAAGTCCAGGGAATAATTCCTTCAACCCCCTCCACTCCCTCTGTCTCTACCACTCCACTGAAACTGTTCCTGTCAAAGGCATTAGCTATGTCCATTTTGCCAAATCCAGTGTTCACATTTAAGTCCATAACATTACTGACTACTTCCATTTTTTTGATAAAGGTTTCTCTTGAAACCTACTCTCCTGGGTTTTCACTTACCTGTTCAAGTAATGCAAGAATTAATTTTAAGACAAAAATTTAAAAACCGGAAAGACACATTATTTTGTTTGTCCCGCTCAATGTACATGTGTCTAATCACATTAAAACCACATTTGAGGGGCCTCCCCTGGTGGTGCAGTGGTTGAGCACTGGGCTGGGAAGCTGCCCACAGCCTCTGCAGCAGTGGTTCGATCCCCTGCCACCAGGTGAGGGTCCCACATGGTGCGCAGACCTCTCCTGCTGCCTGCTGCTCCCCTCAGCAGTGTCCTTTGTCAGTCTGCCTGCTCTGCTCTCCCCTCTGGCTCTGGTGAATTCTCTCACCTTCCCGCGCTTCTGACTGTACCCAGTGATTGTATAAATAAATAAATAAATCTTTAAAAAAAACACATTTTAAGACAAAAATTTAAATTTAAATTTTAAGACAAAAATTTAAAAACCTGAGAGACACATTGTTTTGTTTGTCCCGCTCAATGTATATGTATCTAATCACATTAAAACCACATTTGAGGGTCTCCCCTGGTGGTGCAGAGGTTGAGCGCTGGGTTGTGAAGCTGCCCTCAGCTTCTGCAGCGCTGGTTCGATCCCTGGCTGCTGGTCAAGGGTCCCACATGGCGCCCGCGCGCTGCTCCCCTCAGCATTGTCCTTTGTCAGTCTGCCTGTTCTGCTCTCCCCTCTGGCTCTGGTGAATTCTCTCACCCTCCCGCACTTCTGGCTGTCCCCAGTGCTTGTA